TAATGCCTAATGAGCATTGGGAAACGCTCCAGCACTCCTCTAGCCTTTAATTTCCACCTCAATACTGAGCAGAGCATGCCCCAGCCCTTCTCCTAGCCTCATTAACATGTGCATTCTCCCAATTCAAAACACCAAAGTGATTCCTCCAGCCAGGTGCTTCCCTCCTTAGCCCCTCCAGCCCCAGTGCTGCTGAGCCAGTCATACGTTCCTGCCTGAGCTCTACCAAAATTAATGGTGAGTCATAGTAGGCTCTACAAAGGCCAGGACAGAATAAAGTTTCTTACACCTTTAAAGTGGCACAGAAAGTTTGTAATCTCAGTCATTTTGGTATGTGAATTGCAGCTTAGATAAAACATGAGCTGATGGTGAAGAACAGTGTTTTTTTAAGGGTTCTGACATTTGTTGATTTCAAAATGAATGTTCATGTGAAAAAATGTTCTTTAATAGTACTGCATAGGGTTCCTTTGAAAATAATGTTTAATAATAATAAGTGTCTTATATTTTAGTATTAGGCTATTATATTAAGTATGGTACCTGACAGGAGCTGGAGAGTAGCGCAAAAATGATTTCCAGCTAACCATTATTTATTCCTAAGCCAGAATTTTCTATTTTGATGCCTGAAAGCATACTGAGTACTAGATAACTGCTAACCTAGTCTAGTTGTAGTTCATTAAATCAATCAGTTAAACTGTTAAACAGTTTGCAATATACAAACCAGTTCTTATATTGAGAACAGTTGTTACACCCAGTAACTTGACTTTAAAAGTTCTTCATAACAACTGTGAACTCCCTAATTTAAAAATACAGTAGGTAGCCTTTATTGAGAACTGAGGAAGGAGTTTACTCACAAATAGTTTGGGTTTATGACTAAATGGTGAAGCCTACTCCGGGTAATTACATTAAAATGTAAAATCTGTTATATTTGTTTTTTTAGTTTTGACTACAACAAAAGAATCATCCCCACACCACTTATTAATGGTACACATTAATAAGCTGACTCATAAATCAAATATGAACCATCTTAAAAGATTATACTGACCATTCATGGAGCTAGTCCACAAATGGTCAATATAGTCTTTATTACTCTATGTGCAGATGCAACATCAAACCTTTTCTGCAGCACTAATCCCCCCTTTTTCCATTTGCAAACTCAAGCCAGTCTCTTCTTGATGAGTGACAGTTTTCTCCTGGCTACAACAAGTTTGAATAATTTCCACAACATATTCAAGTGGGATGGAAGATTTTCTTCCCATGGGCCCTGTCAAAGTCAAATACACTTGTGAGCTCAGAAAACTCTTACATCAAACAGCTAGATGTTTGATGTGAGACGTATACCAAGGGAAATTTAGTAAACACAACACACCCTAGCTGTGAAGGCTGCATGGCTATAGAGGCACAAAGCAGAGCTAGTCTGGCCGCAGTGACTTTTGTGGTTATAGTGGTGTGGTGCGGTGACATTATTTCCTACATGTGAACAGGGTGTCACTACCTGGATGCTACTCAAACGTTTGATGCCTTTAGCCACACACACCCAAAATGTAATGGCCCATCCATTAAAATGGGATGAAAAATTAAAAGATAACATAAAATACATTTGTAAAACTAATAGAATGAGGAAGATCAATGGAAGAAAACACCAATTACCTACATGTATAAAGTGAATTTGATTTTAATGAGTATAGATGAAGCATTTTTTTCTACTCTTTATTCCACACTATACTGAGCTGTATGATTTGCTGTTGCAATTGATGGTGAAACAGTTGCCGGGCATACCAGCACAGCTGTTGTGCTGTAGCACTAATTAGCAGGCTATGACCAATGACCCAGGGCAGGATATGATCATACCTGCCTCTGGAGCTTTTGTAAACACTTGGGTGCATTTTTCCCCTCAATCATTTTCTGTTTTGCCATAGGTCAAAAGAAAAACATGTTGAGCCCCCCCTTTTTTAGTTTCTGTACTTTGCCTCTTTTTATGGCTATTTCACAAGTTATTTTTAGTAACTTCATTGATCAAGTAGTTTTTTAATTATAGATCTATCTATATAGAGACCATCTAGTTTCACATGCTGTAGTCAGTTTATTTATGGCCATTTATATTGTCTGATTTCTTTCTCTCTAGTTTGATTAAGAAATACTCCACTGTAAATAAATGCCTAGTTAACTGACAACATGAAATCTTTGTGTTTGTTTGTATGTGTTTGAGTGCATGTTTGGTTACATTTTCACATGGGCTTGGGTGAGGCAGGACTTTTTTCTCAGAACATTTCGGAGATATGCCTCAGTTAGTCTGTCCTGACCCTCACCACTGAGAGGTTTTAATTTCATTTTAATGCAAAGAGAGTATCTAATTTCTTATTCATTCTTCAGTAAACATGCTAACCCTGTCTAGCTCTGTCATCCGTTCACGCCTCCGTCCTTCTACGTCAATCATTCTCCCTCTCACCTCCTCCCTCAGCTGTTCCATGTCCCTGCTCCACTGGGATTGATACAATATTTTCCAACCTCAATTAGCAGACAGCCTGTTGACTAATTCCGACTGTTTTTGCACCTGAGTGGGAGCTGGAGTTGGGGCTGGAAAAATTGAGTGGGGTGGAGGTGAGCGCCGGGGCCTGGGTGTAGTAGGCAGAGCTGCTGGGGCAAATAGCTGTGTCAACAAGAGTGTAGGGGCAACACAGAGGACAGAGGAGGGGTCGAACAGACTGTTGGACAGCATTCAGTGAAAGCTCAGGCTGAGGACAGTTCTGAGCAGAGTAATAGTAGTGTTTGTTGTGCTGGACAGCACTATATGTTGCACAAGCAAGATAATACAGGCAAAACAGTACTGTCTCTAACATTGTATGCATCTGTATCTGTGGTTTTACATATTCTCAAACTATTCAAGCACATGTCTGCAAGTTTGCTTTATATGTTTTGCTTTGGGGTCAAATAGAAGTTGATATTTCGGAAGTATTGATAGAGTCATAAAAATGCATCCACTACGCTAATGCTTCAGTGTAGTATCTGTGTCACTGCTTTTGTAATTAAATATTTATAACTTCCTGCTTGTCCAGCCACTCAGATTTATAGCATGGCTACTGCATGAGTATCAAGAAATATCAGTATCAAAGGCTTTAGATCCGATAGAAAGCCTCCTTATGTGATGATAATAATGAGTGCCTCACACAGTATAAGAGCGAGACATCAAAAGGGCCTTAAACCAGAACCGTCCTATTGTGAGACACAGCCACAGACTAACCACAAGGTGCATTTTGTTAACTTTTTAGGCAAAGCCTACATGACCACTGGTTTGGCACTGTGCTCAGCTCAGAGTGTAGGTACACACCCTCGTTCTGTGTGAGCACAGAAAGAATCGTTCTTTCCACCAAAGGAAATGAGAGGATGCTGGCTAAAGTTTATGAGGGCATTACATTCAAGGGGGGGGGAGTTTTTTAATAGAGAGCCAGTGCTTCCACCTAAGGATAAATGGCATAGCAATAAAAAAAGACATTTCAAAGACATTAAACACTTTTCATATGTTTCAATTCAAACGCCCTCATTTTGCCAGATTGCTACAAGTCTTCCAGAATGTGTCATATTCAAGAAAAGTATATTTAACATGTATTTTATGGTAGCTCATATGTATTATGTAAAATGAGAGAATAAAGTCTCAATTTAGGTAAGTTCACAGCTCTAACAGTGATAATTCATCTCAGTCTGAATTTCTACCAATGTGCGCGGTTTTAACTGATTCTTCCAGGTGACAAATTATAACAGGGTCATAAATGTCATCCAGTCTTCAAGCTGGAGCTATTGAAACAGGTGTAACAGACTGACTGGCCGATTGGCTGGATGCAGCATCTGCTCCTGTCCCCAGTAGATGTACGGAAAAATTCTGACTCACCCACTTGTGTAAAAAGGCATTAACGACCAAATATATAAATATTACCATCAAAGGCATAAGCATCTCTAAGGGCTAGCCAGTCAGTCAGTGACTAATGGAGAGAGGGAGGTCAGATCATGACCAGAGTCGGCTCATCTGACCTGACCAAGGTTTGAAAGACACCCACTGATGGACACACTAAAGAGGCACTGCTGCTCTATGAACAACATCTTCTCCGGTGTCTCTGAACCACAGACTGTATATCAACTAGAGGCTTATTAACAAAATAACCTGGGTCAGTCTGAAGCTGCACCACTGCATAATGAACACAAGTGGGCTGGCATGCTGAGAAGTGTTATTCTGTCTGAGCGGTTGCTAAGAGGTATGACATAAGGTGCAAGGCAGAGCAGCACTGATAGCAGAATATGAAGGGAAATTTACAGCCATGTGCATGATTGCCAGAAAAAAATATGATCCAAACTGTAAAGTGTTCAATAAGGAAAGTCCAAATGCTAATGCATGTTGCATTTAAGAGGCCAACTCAGTGATTTAAATTGACATTACTACATATGCGCACACGCATAGACATACAAATCATCACATAGACAGAATAAGCTCTTATGGAGTAGTTTAAATTGGACTTCTCATTAATGACTTATCAAACTGAAGAGCACACATTAATCTGTTTGCATTAATTGTTAGTGTTTCAGTTTACACCTGCTACTTAAAACTGATGCACTTTCATCACAGTTTGGACAAATTAATTCCCAGTGAAACAGAAGCCTTTCTTCCAAGCCCAGTTTGCACTGCCAACTGATGCTCAATGTCTTTCTTCAGCTTTCTAGTAAACTCAGTGCTGGCTGTCTCATGAGGAGCTTATATCCACACTAGGGTATTTTCTTCTTACCTAGCAACGTATCTTTCATGTTCTAAACACAACACAAATAGTTCAGCACTGGTTTAACTGTAGACTATTCCTATGCATAGCCTATGAATTCCTGCTATAAAAGTGAACAAATAAGAAAGTCCAGTCATAACAATAAAAGTGAGAACGTCACAGGGCATCCTGACCACTCTCTGACGCTCAACACACATTTGAGATAGAGAACTTAGATGCACTTTGGCTGTGCCAGCTACTTACTGTCTGCATAGTTTTTCCGCCGAGTACCATCCACCTTGCCTGTTTTGTCAATGCACAGGAAGAACTTGTTGGCAGAGTAAAGTCGCCTTAGTCGGACGTCACCCTCTAGGTGATTGTAACTGCGAGTGTGCCTTTCCAGTGTCCATGAACAATTGATGCCATTTGCCAGCACCTGAAGGGGTTCATGCTGTACCCGAGGAGGACAGGCCCCTGTGGCACTGCCAGAGGAGACCAAGAGCAGGGTGAAGCATGCCAGGCAAATGGAGGCTGCACTGGGCAGTAGGATTGGTCGCCCGGCAGAGGCTGTAGTAGTTGCGGTGCCAAAAGCAGGTTCAGGACAGAGATGAGCTACGGATGGCGTCCATCTGCACATGGTGGGTCAGACTCCCAAGGTGCACCTTGTGCAAGCTGTATGCATGCTGATTATTGGAAGATGTCCCAGTAGAAGGATGCCAAGAGGGTGGGAATCCTGAAGAGAGAAAGGAGGGAAATGTCACTCACAGTAGATTCTCTGGATGCCCCCAATGACCAAGCTCTACTTTGGGTTGTCAGCAGGCCTTCCTACAGTGACAATCTTGTCAAAGTTTCTCTGGTTGTCCTCTTCGGTCTTCTTTCTTACTCTATTTGTCCACTTCTTTCATAAAGTATTGAAATTTTATGGTACCGCCTTTAAAAAAGTTCTTCTTTAATGTTGCTCCTTGTCTCTCAGTTTGTCCTCTTCCTTGGACCCAAGTCTTCTTTCCTGGTCAACAGATAAAGTCCTGGGGTGTATGAGGATGCACACATGTTCATGTTTGTGTGTCAATATGTGTTTGTGTAAGTGTGTATGGATATGTGTGTTTCTGTGAGTATGTGCACCTTGCAATGCTCTGCTCTGTCCAGCTGGATAGGAACAAGGTGCCTGTTTGAGCTGCTGACCCGTGCTGAGAAGGAGTTGAGTGAGAGTTGGTGACTGACTCTGTGCTTGCAAGTGTGTGTGTGTTTGTATGTATGCCTGAGTGTGTGATACTGAAAAAAAGCGAGAAAGAGAGAGAGAGAGAGAGAGAGAGAGAGAGAGAGAGAGTGGGAGTGAGTAAGTGAGTGAGTATGGGAGGGAGAAAGCTGATGTGTGTTTGCAACACAGAAAGCGAGGCAGTGAGAGTGTGTCTGTCAGAGTTAGCGGCAGTCAGCCACTGTGTGTCAGCCAGCACAAAGCAGTGAAGCAGCAAGCTAATGGTCTCATGCTCTGCTGTGTGCAGTCAGTCAGTCACTCAGTCCTCTCTTCTGTGGAGGTACCGGCTGAGCGGTCCTGCACTTTATCCTGGGCAGGGCCAGCATCTAGATGGTTGAAAGGATGGGGGGTGGTGGGTGGGGCCACCAGACTCATTCATAACCATTTTAAACAAATGAGAAAGCCTTCATGAAGCACCATCCACTTTCTGTTCTCTCTCAGAAAAGTTTATTCTGTGAGGAACAAGTCATTTGATTTTCACCTGAGGATTTTATTATCCTCTTTTCACAGTCACAGACACCTGGAAAGACTTATGTCCCCTTCGTATCCCCTTGATGTGAACGATGAAGCATTTTGTAACATGGTCAAATCAGCTCCATTACTGTCCAGTGAACCAGCAAGGAGACCATTTTTGATACCTTCACTCTTTTTTCTTCTCTGTGGCCACATGGGGCAAATTAAGGGAGCCTTTCCATTTTTTATGGCTGCTGGTTTTAATCACCAAGCAGCTGGAAACACAGAGCAGGTGTCAGTGGAGTTAGTCCAGATGAAGCCTGAGAGACTTTCTGATCACCTTTGTTAATGTTTCAATGAAACAACCTCTCTGATCTCTACAGAACAGGATGGAAATCGAAAACACTTTTTTGTGACTTCCCACACTCTTGTCTGTTTTTTTTTTTTACAAGCCGTGTAATGAATCTGATTAAAACAAGGCATTAAAGCTCAGTCCCACAATTTGGTTGACAAGGATGACTTTGCTATTATATCATTATTAACCAAAATGTAAATAAGATGTAAAAGAAAAAAGATATAGTTTATACTATCTGACTGGACAAGAACTTAAAAGACCATTTTGGGAACTATACCCATTTGCTTTCTTGTTGCTTTCATGTCTGTATGGTAAATATAAGCTGTAGCCAAGAGCTGATTAAGCTAGCTTAGCATAACAGCTGGAAACAGGAGGTAAGAGCTAGCCTGGTTTTGTCCAAGATAACAATTTACACCTAACAGCACATCTAAAGCTCACTAATTAACACACTACATTGTAATTGTTTTATCTTTACAAAAACTAAATGTAAAAATAACAATTAGCAATTAACAATTAGCCATTTCACAGAGGGTTATATGCTTTACTATTTCAGTTCCTGTTGCCAGGCAACCATTGAAGAATCCAGGAAGTTATAAAATAAATCCTTTTTTTAACATTTAATTTTTTTTGGAAGGATTTAACAAATTTGTTATCAAAACCAGGCTAGGTGTTTCTCCCTGCTTTCAGCCTTTGTGCTACGCTGTGCTTTGTGCTAAATGACTGCTGGATTAAGTTTCATATTTAATACACAAATATGAGTGGGCACTGATCTTCTCATCTAATTCTCTTCCTAAAATAATCAAATAAACATAAATAAGCAAAAGAAAAGATGCAGAAGCTTTCAAGGGGAACTGTCCAGTGAACACTGGCAATTACCTGCTTTTTAAAAGCACATGAATACCACCCTGAGGCCACACTAGTCCAGTGCTGGAAGTGTGTTTGAGGAGTAAAGGGTGACAGTCACTTTACACTCTTTAGCTTGTAAACATCCCCCTTGCAGTCCGTCTGGCCCCTACTTAAACTTTGCCATTATAAAGAATAAACTATGACAGAGACCAGTCATCTCTCACCTCCAAACTCCCAGCTCCCCAGAGTCATTCCTGTCTACCTGCTTTTATGCTCTGCTCTTTGGTGCCCACCAGGTTCCTCAGAAAAGCTACTTTCAGCATAGATGCATGTGTGTCCTTTGTAAAAAAATCAGTCTTTTGCCCTCAGTTAAACCACGCTAGCACTCCCTTTATGTTCTACTACTTAATTGATGCTTTCTCTCCTCCTGTCTCTGTCTTGATCTGTTCTGTGTACATGGACTGATTATGACACAATGGGCCCCTGGGCACAAATGTGAAAGGCCTCCCCACACATTGTGGCAAGACACCCAAAATGAAACAGACATGTTTTGTTCGTTTTTAAAGTGATTTTTTCCTTTATGTGTCTGAAAATGTTTTTCTTCTCTTTGTGGTCTTCTTGCATGTCTTTATAGTCATTTTTCTTTTCTTTGCAGTTGTTTATTAATTCTTGGTGGACAATTTGTCTTTTTTACTCATTTTGCACCTCTCTTTTTATAGTAATTTTGCATCTTGTGTTTTTTCCCGCTTTCTGGGATATTTTACAGATGAGCTCCAGGGGCCCCATGACTCATTCTGAACACAGCCTTCGTGCTGTATGACATTACCTCCCCGTCTTCAAAAATAACATGTAAATAGTTCTCAGGACATTGGAGTGTTTGCAGGCTTGATTCAGTAGGCTATTTGATTTATTCCCACCACCACCATTGTCATGAATATTTCTTAATAATGTTATAAAAAGCATTTGGATAATACCTTCTTTTGCTTTATGCTTGACAACAGTGTAAAATGCTTTTCGTGAAAATATTGTATGTTAAGTCTACAGGAAAATTATATCAGTGGAGCTGCATCATCATTGCCAACTTGTCAAACTAATCAGTTAGCAAGTGAGATAATTTTTGTTCTGAGGAAATAGTACATTTGAAATACAGTGTAAAAAAACTTTTAAATAACAAGGTTCTGCTCCATCCCTTCTCTTTACTGGCTGGGGCAGATTGTTTTGTTGCACATGCTTGTAAATCAGATGATGCTTCCAACTCATACTTTCAAACTGCAAACTGCTTAACCCCCTTTAACATGTATGTTTCCAGTATGACAGTTTAAAGCATTAATATTTAGAGCAGAGTTATGAATTCTTTTATAGCACAAAAAGTTAAAATTACATTTGTACTATTTTTTGTTTAAATGATAGCGAACTTTCAGATAAATCATTATGCTATAGACAAGTAATAATTAATATAATCATAAATTGTTATTGCATGTTTTATATAATAGAAATTTTTTATAAAGTAACATGAATATTTTTAATATACAAAATCAGCTGTGTCTGCTGCTCACTTGACCCATGTGTAATGAAATAAAGAGAAAAGACACCAATTTTTGCAAATTATAATTTAATACAAAGTATGCAGTGTGCTGTCTGCTTTGTATTGTACTGTGCATACTTTAAAGAAAATTCACTATTTTTTTACTGCCTTCAAGTGCGTTCAGAATATGTTTAACATAAGCCATAATTATATTTTGAAACTCAAATATATCTTATATATTTTAATACATTTAAATAGTGTCCTTATTTTTGTAAAATTAATAAAATGTATATATTGGTCACTCTTGTTTTCTTGGGTTTTTTCAGTTGGACTGGTGTCTCTTTGTCAAATATGTGTAGATGAAAAAAAAAAAACTGAAAATATGAGGAAGTGAGGGAGAAAAGAAGTACCAATAAAGAACCCGGATGAAGATAGTTTCCTTCCCATATTGTAATTTCTGATAATTAAAGTCATACAATTATTATATGTAATGTAGAAGTCCCCAAAAATTGGAGTGGCCCCTGAGGTCAACAACACAGCTTGGGCCTCATGTGAACATCAGATGTGGCAGTAGATTGCTTTGTGGTGTCTTGGATACAAATTTTTAGGCCCTTAGCTCAGTGTCAAAGCAGACACAAGCATAATGCATTTCTTTGTTAAATGACTCAACATGCAATGCCTTGCCGTTTTACTGTGTGCATCTTTGATGTTGAAAACTACAGTAATTTGGATGATTTCAAGTGTGTAACACATAGATGATTTAATAAATGTTTAGTTAAGCTAACTCTATTTACAGTTGTCCAGCTCATGTGTGTAACCCAATGCATAACTTCTAATTTTACAGTTCAGAAGCAAGTACAAGGAGTCTTTTGGGACATTGTAGCTGTCTGCTAAATGCTACCACATCTTAGTTTAGCGTGTTATTATGGTAACATTTACCAATTAGTGTGACACAAACTACAGCTGAAGGCTTAGTTCTACAGGTATTTGGTCTTGAACTAAAATACTGGGATTAGAGTTTAGGTTAACAGATTGTAATTCATTGGTTCTTTATCTACCTCATTGGGTGATAATTGGGTATAGTTTTGCTGGGGTTGGCATATCCTGAGATGAGCATTTAGGTGAGTTGAGTTGAGCTGAGCCACGCTGTGTGGGTGTGCCCTGAGCTGAGAACACCACTCTGTGAGCCAGATGCAAGGAGGATGTTCTCAAGTGGAGGAACCTAATCTTTCCCAGCAGGGATCCAAGCGGCTCTGTAAGTGTATGAATAGAGATAATATCTCTATAATGAGCCCTTTTTGTATCATCAAAGTCTTCAAAGGGGTCTGAAACCCAACCTCCCTCCTAGCATTGACAATCCCTCAGTAATAGCTCCCTATTATTAATTGTTTTGCCTGCCTCCTAAGTCTATGTGTCTCTCTTTTGCTTTTGTAGCTGCGTTTAAGCTACTCACCCTTGACCTAGTGCTTTTAAATGTACTGACATTCTTCCAGTATGCAACTCTGTGCTGGGAGGATATTTGTTTTCCTTGTTCTAGGTAATACTGTTTTCAGATACATTTCCAGACACAATCTATTTTCTCCTAACTGTGGATCCTGAGGTGCAAAAAGTTATAGCATTCACATAAGGAAATTATCTCATACATATTATTTACAAGTAGCAATTTATCCTTTCAGCACACTGCCAACACTGGTTCAGATATTTTTGAGCTGTCTGCTGTGGTTGGCTGACATAAACCTGGATGACCAGACTGCTACAACCCAACTTCGCTGAAGACATGGCCTTTGTGACCACTGTCTGTTGGCCACAGCTATATGATAAGTGAGTCGTCTATCTGATGCTGTGAAGAGCTGTGAGATGCAGCATCCCAGTTTTTTTACAGGATAATGAGCAGAGATTCAACTGACTGATAATGTTTTATGAAAAAAGTGACATGTCAGGAGTGATTAAACATCTGTCCCCTCCTAATCTGATCTGTCAGAAGCACATAACAAAGGACACGGATAGAACAGGATGCTGGTAGCAAAGATGGGAAAAAACCCCTTTTAAAATCATTGCTGACTCTGCATTTCTACATTCTCCTAATGAAAGGTGCTGTTGTTGCCTTAGGTACAGTAGCTTTGTCTGGATGCTGAGGGTAACCCAGGATTATTACTGTATAGTCTGAAGTATACATGATTCTCTCAAATGATTTTATTAAGACACACTTTTAAACATTTTAAGTGAGCCAATGCATGTGTGGGGAAGCCCAGTCAGTGATGTGTGAGTCACCACAGCCCAGTAATGGACTGTGCATAAGCCCAAACGATCTTTCTGATGTCTATCTCACTGACCATAATGGACATAAGGTGTGTGATATGATGAGTAATATTTCAGTTTTAAGGGTTGCATCAGTGCTCCAGAGGTTTCCAAATGTAAGTCCTACTATGACTACTTTGTTGTCACAGATGTCACATGTATGGAGGCACATGAAGAAGCTCCTTTAAACACGTTTTTCCACACAGGACAGGTCAGCAATTCCATGTAAATGGTGCAGACACACACACACACACACACACACGGGACTCAGTCACACAAACAAGCACATGCCAAAAGCATTTACCAACACAAGCATCTCACAGAGAAGTATCTCCATCAACTTTCCTTGGCCAGGTGAAGCAGTTTCAAAAACAGACCTCTCTCCATCTGTTAAACAAATGGGGAGCCCATACAAAGGTGTGCAAAATAATCCACATGATCAAAGTGAAAGAGAATGGCAGCCTTGTCCTGGCCTGGCCATTATCAGGCCCCATGAATGCCTGTCTTCTTCTCCTTTGTTGGCTGGGGCATTGACAGTCACTCACCCGGCAATGACAGTCACACCATCGCAAAGAGCCAGCCGCCGACAGGGGCCAACCACATCAAACGAGGCTGTCAAGGGGCCCTGCTCGTGAACCGTGGCAACAAACACCTCCTGATCCTCACCTACAGCTCAGTAGCAGCGGCTGTGCTCTCAGCCACTGCCTCCAGTGAGAAAAGATGTACTGCATAGACCTAATTTCCTCCTGTGCCCCCCACCTTCCACCCCCTTTGTCAAGTAGTGCTTGGGTTAACTTCCAGCCTGCTGAGACATAAAAGGCTGCTAAAGTGTTTAAGAATGCTTTATGGATGCATGACAAGGGGAGGCCAACACTGCTGTGGGTCAGAAAGTATACAGGATATAAATGAAATAAAGTCAGTTTTACTTTCAGTTTGGAGCCGAGCACACTGTTGTTAAACTTTATGATGTCTGACCATCAATAGTCCACTGGGGAAAAAAAAGACTATAATAGGCTGTAACAAATATTTTGGTCAAATCAGCAGGAGAGCAGGTTGCAAGTGTATTCTACCAGCCTGAGATCACACAAATGGAAATAAATGTAACAGCAGTCGTTTTATTCTTCAGTTAATGAGAACTTTAGATCAAATAATAGCCACAACTGTAAATTCTGTCATGAGACAACACCTATAAGTGGCCATTTACATGCTCACAAAATGCTTGAAACACGATAATTTTCACTTGAAATTTATGGAGAAGGCCAGAATTTGCCTGCTGCATGTTCAGTAGGCTATTTATTATTTTTTCTTGTTTATATAAATCTATATAGTTGCTAGCTACAAAATCCAAACATTTGACATCTCTGCTAATCATATCTTTATATACGATGTAAAATAAAAAAATTAACAAATGATATTAAAAGCAGTATAAAGGTGAACACAAATGCAAAAATATTGTACAAAACATGATGTGTACTGTGTTGTAACCCTGGTCTCCTGACTGACCTCTGGTTCTACTTCTTTTGGCTGGGGTGAGACTGCCACCTGTAGGCAAACACAATTCACTATCCATCTCACACTATATATAAATGTTTCACTTTGTCACTTTAGCTACTGACATCACAAAAAAAGAGGAAATATGAGGAAGAACTAAATATTCATTTATTAACAATTGTAGCCTAGTTCTGCCTATAAAATTATGAAAACAGGAAAATATATTATTAAAGACATAAATAAATGTATCATTGTACTGTTAGTGCTAGCATTACTTACAGCATGTTCGAAATCCAAACAAAGAAGCATCTTGCAGAGAGGTTGCATGCAGGATAAGGGATTCGCAAGCCTAGCTCGACTTTTCTACGATCTTCTAGCCATGCCTTAAACACGGATCGTTGGTCTTCGTGATTAGCTTGGTCTAATTTAAGATGGATGCCTAGTAGTTTGAACGAGTGAGGTCGTTGCATGTTACCATGTCACTTCTTAGAGTTTGTGCCGTTGTTAAATGTCTGAATCGTCGCAGTTTATTTGAAAGGTGTGCTGTTGGTGTGTCTTTGGCGGGCTGCTGCCGGCTGTGTGTGTCCATAAGAAACGATGTACTCCGACGAATGTCAGGTGAGCCTAAGGAGCCTCAGGTTAAGATTACAACTCGTGTGGCTTCAGTGGGATGTACTGGTTTGTTCAGTTTCGTTGACGACTCTTGTGTTAAATGTTAGTGTACTTGCATGCTATTTTAACCCATACTTACGATTAACGTTACTTATTGCAGCATTAAACGAGCAAATGGTTAGATTGGGTCATGTAACAGTTTGGTAAAATGATTACTAAGTCCAGCGTAGGGGATGTTTTGTGTTGGGCATGAACCTAACAATAAACTGTTGGTAGGGAGCGAGTAACTAAACGTATTTGAATTGTTTTTTTAAATTACACGCGTTCGCTGTAACAACTTTAGTCAATATAACGTTACTATAAATGTCACTAATATTACTGGGGACCTTACACGATGACATTACTTAGTCATAGCATCGTCATTTTAGCTCATTTTGTGTTTCCTGAAGAGCGAGTCAACCAAAACGTCAGTGTTTCAGTCCCTAGTTGCTTCTGGTTCAGTGTGAAGTAAATGTTAAGCAGTGAGCAGAATGTCTTGGCACTATATTGTTATTAATTGTTGCACAGCTAGTAAGAGGCAAAACCCTCTGCTCAAAATACAGTATGCAGTAAGAGTCAAAAGTCTAGTCTTTTGAGTAAGGTCTTAACATTGGTTTGAAAGTAGACATGTTTCTAAGGGATGCTAATGATTTGCATTAAGCCCTGCTGTTTTTATTTTGTCAGGGTCATCTTTGCTATTTCAAAGAAGAAGCATTTCATTTGTAAGGCCAAAGGCAGACGAGACAAAGAAACATGTACTGGAACAGTCTCAGCTGTTAGACGGTATGTCACTATGTCACTGTAGGCTGCAGGTTGTTACACAAATATAATTACCATGTCATACTAAATGTTGGCATATTAAAGTTGTCTGATCTGCTTTTCATGTCTAAATGCTGCCAGTTCAAACTGCATTTGTCAGCACCATTAGTTTACTGTGTTGTGTCCTGATACGTATGTTAGTACACAGATGGGTCCGGAAAAGCCTCATTCATTTATACCTTAATCCTTCCTGTATGTCCTTGATGTTTGTGCTACAAGCCTGTGAGATGTTAGGAGTATTTCCTGGGCCTAACTAATTATTGTAGCCTGTAGTGCTATCTGTATTTCAGTGTATTACTCTGAAAATGGCTGGAAAGTAGTTCTCTTTACTCACATTAGATGCCTAATTTTATTTTTCCTTCTCAGTACTTGAGGCAAGGATCCAGCAACTCCAATCTGATATTGTCCAACATGCAAAGGTGCAGTTTGTTAAAGCTCCCTCCTCTGGAAGAGGGGTTTCATCTATTAGGGCGACCAAAAGCACATCTCTGGAGAAAACAGACATTCCTAAATCAGGAACAGCTGTTAGTAAAGGGGCATCTACATCCAATCCCAGTCGCTGGTTGGAAAAATTAACTCGGGAGAAGGATATCAAAATTAAAAAACAGCAATGCCTTCAGCAAAAAATACAGAAAAATGTCAAGGAGAAACCAATAACCAGATCTAAAGGTAACAAAACCAGCTCAATGCTCCCAGGTACTTCACATAAAATTATAATGACCACCGCTACAAAGACTTCAGTTAAGAAGAGAAAAACGCAGATGAAATTATCTGATGAAAGTTGTGCTGCAGCAGCCACACCACATAGAGTCTCTAAAGAGGAATGCAAGGACTCTAGAAATCAGCTTCTCAGTAAAGAGGGCCAAACGCAGACTGATGCTGATGCCCAGGGTAGGGCTAAGGAACTGGCTAATGTGGAGGAGCTGGAGAGGAGGCTCAGTCAAAAGGTGAGCCATTGTTCTTCAAGTAACCAAGGGCATCCACATCTGGACGCTGACGGAGCTGCATGTACCGACATCAAACTTAGAATCCACTCTTACCTGGAGGCATGTGTGTTTGTTGGGGACACTGACCGGGCGCACAATTTCCTGCTTAGCCAACACAGGGTTAGGAGACGACGTAAACATCTGGACACAAACGTCTACAACGTCATGATGAGGGTGTGGGCCAAGAAGGTAAGTTCAACAGTAAAGACACCATGTTTGAAAATGTATTTGTGGTTTGACTTTTTAGACAAAATAAGGAAATGTAATTGGGTGTCCCAGGGAAATATTCTAACCTTGACAATTTTTTTTTTAATTGGCTGAAACCAGATGGTTAGTTTACTTTACAAATTTTGTGTACTTACAGGTTAAAGCAACTTGTTGTTAGACATTGTTACCGATGGCAAGAAAACTTGTTTTTACTTTTACATGTGAATGATGGCAACTGTCAGGGTGCACATTTTTATTATAAGTACTTGTACATTTTCTGGTTCACAGGGTGTTCACAGTCTTTCTGTTGCACTTTAAATGTGAACCACATCACTTAAATGAAGTCTCATGCTTGATCATTTAGTTGAATTTTATTCACTTGGAAACAGAAGCATTTCTGGAATGAACACTAGTGACGTTTACCTGAATTCACCGTTCAGTGGCCCTTCCATGTCTCTCTGTAGGGCACATTAAATCAGATCGGGCGCATGTTTATTCTTTTGGAAGAGGCTGGTTTGAAGCCAAATCTGGGCTCCTATTGTGCTGCTCTGGAATCTATGGGCCGCAGTCCTAACTGCTCCCCAGAAGTCATCACAAGGTATGTGCATACACCATCTGTGAACGCGTGTGAGTTTGTAAACACGTTGGTCTTGCTCAAGGTGAGTAATATCAGGGGTACGAACATGCACGCATACAAAGTCACATTTTAGAGGGGTCTTACTTTTGGGTCATGAGAGAGATTTAAGTTTTAAAAAGGGGAAGAGCAGTAATGCACAGACTATCAGTTGTCATGCCATCCTCTTTTTTTTTTTTGCTGCATCCTGTCAGTTCTGGCATAGACTTTTTCACTACACATTTTTAAAATTCTAAAATTATGTTGTCAGGCAACTAGTATAGTGTTAATTTAAGATAAGCTTATGGATCTAGAGTCTATGCTCTGTTAATTGCTAATTAGCCAATTATTGTTATTTCCTTCTTTTTTTTGCAGTTAGTGTAAAAGTGCTAAAATACCATGTACATGCACACATTTTTACTGTTGACTGTATATTTTTTATAAACAGTTTTGTAAATTAAAATGTACAAAAATGTTTAAGGCAGCAATTGCACCCATCTTTTACCTACTGATGTTTTTCATTTTTAGGTTACTTGTGAATTATAGCCTCACTATGACTGTAAGATAGCCATTTTGGTTACATGCTGGTTATGTCATTTTTGTAGCAGCATGACCTAAAAAAGACCCTAGTGAGATTTTTAGATGTGTGTCTAAAATCTGTCTTATTTATCACAATTACTTCTTTGGCTTTTTCATAGTTTTTTTTTTTCCTCTTGTGAAAATATTGTCTGTGGTCATGGATTTTCCTTGTTAAACCTATTTACAGTGATAAAATGCTTTATCTTCAGTGTTC